GTTCTTGGTATGGATGTGTGGTTCTAGGAAAAACCTTTAACTTTCACAGAACCATTAAATTCTACTTTTACAGAAGTGGTCCTGTTTAGGGCAGCGGTCCTCAGAGACCCCTGGATGGTCCACATTTTTGCTGTAACCCTTTGGAACCCAAAGTGTTTCTTCCCTAGAACAAGAGTATTATGTTCAGTGTAATGAAATGACCGATCCCGGTCACCAGCTAGAAGAAATGCTCTGCACTCTTCAAAGAAATGAACTATAATCACATTAAGAATGATCCTCAATATCATACTGTGACATGTTATTACAGTGTAACACGTTGATCAATCTCTCTCTCGTAAACTCACATACCTACACAGACCCACTTTATTCCACCCTTCAGCTCAATTTCGGCCGGATGATTGAAACAGAAAATCAATTACCATCCGGCTCAGCGTCCAACTCGCAGCCTTCCTGCATCCTCAGCCTTTTCTAAATGGAACCCCCAGCAGATCCTCGCGGCTGCTTGTGAGGCTCAGTGTGAAATGTAATTGTTGTTTGTTATGACACTCATCATTTCTGTCATTTATATGTAAATGATGTGAGCTGGTCCCTCGCCGGTGGTCTATCACACCTGCCTGTCACAATTAAAGCCGGAGTGACGGAGGGCCAAATTCAGTAGATGTAATTTAGAATGTATGTGTGGGCGTGGAGAGATATACTGTGGCTGAATATGGATAATTATATGTATATGTAGTTATATTCTACCTTTCCATAATAACAGATATTCCTACAGGAAAGGTCTCAAAGTTGAGTCTGGGTCTTTACTGCCCTCTAGTGTTCATTTTGATACATTACATCAGTGATCTCCAACCCTGGACCTGTTGATCTACCTGATACATCTGATTGAGCCAATCAGGGACTTGGGAACAGGTTGATTAGCTGGAGCAGGTGTGGTTGGAAGATCGTGGCTGGAACTAGGATCTGCAGATAGGTAGGTAGATCTCCAGGACCTGAGGTAGAGACCACTGCATTACACCTCCTGCTACTGGATTATGGATTATGGATGTCATAGATTAGTGTAGACTACCTATCAAAGTAAGTACATAAGTCATTCAGATATAAATATACAGAGCTGTGCGAAAATCTGAGGCCATGCTTTCCAGCCAAAACAGCCAATGAGTAAAAATCAACAGTACAAATGAAAAAAACAGGGGTTCCAAAAACTGATTAAAAGCTACAGAGAAAATGGGGCTCCTAACAACCACCTGGAAGACCTCGTAGACCCCAAAACTGCCCCCATCAGATAAACAGCACTTAAAGCTTTCATCTTTGAAAGGGAGGAGAAAATCAGGCTGCTTCAGATCTGAAAACATCCACAGGTGTTTCTGTCCATCCTTCCACTGTGAGAAGACGACTCAGCGCTGTGGGTCTGAAAGGATGTGTAGCTGTCAAGAAGAACCTCACTGAGAAAAGGAGACGGACACATCGAAACAAAGAAGCTGAACGATGGACTGACCACCCCAGAGTCCAGACCTCAACCACTGAATGTGTTTGATTACTTCAGAAAATGATCAACCAGCTCCTAAGACTGAACTTTGGAGGTGTGTCTGCAGATTCTTTGAGGAACTGAAAGCGAGTAAAGGTTAAAAACGTCAGTGTGAATGGGAGCTATATTTCAACTCTAGCTTATTTCCGTATTTTAAAACTTGTTTCTACTATGCAATAATGTTTTTGAACGACTGTGTTTTGGTGTATATATATATATAGCAATGTTTATTGCAAATAGAATCACTCATAACATAAACTCAAACTCTCAGGAAGCTTAATTTTATCCATGGCCCAAAACCCAACACTGGGTTAAGTTTTAATCCTAGTCCTAAATCTAAGTATGTTCATAATTCTAACACTGGTCCTAAACCTAAAATTCTGGTCCTAATTCTAATCCTAGTCCTAAATCTGACCATGGTGTGTGTGTGCGCGTGTGTGTGTGTATGTGTATGTATATACTGCGCATAGTAAACATAAAACAAGGGAATGAACTGAAAATATTACAATAACTTCTGTTTCTACTGTCGAAAACTTACTGACAACATACAACAATATATATACATTTCCATAGAGGGATACTCCTCATAAGCTTATGAGCATTCAGTGTGTGAAATCTATGGCTGTAACAGTTATTGCAGGTAGGACTGTCTAATGGACACTAGAGGGCGCTGTATGTATGAGCTGTAATTCACACAGTACACAGTTCAGTTTATTTCAGAATGTATCTGTAGGTCAAACAGTATAACAAACGTGTTGTGGTCTTACAGTGGCTAGTAAACAATCAAAACGTATCAAAAACACATTGTTACAGTTTAAACACTTCCACTCCACCCATTTTAGACTGGAAAGGTTGAGCTACACACCTAAATAAGATGGTTCTTCAAGGGTTCTATAGTAAAGAGAATGGTTCTCTGTAAAACACTTAAAAAGTCCTATACATGATTAAAGCGTTTCTTTGAATGGCGAAGGGGCTCTTCAGATTGATGAAGAATATGTTTTTTACATGGTTCTATATAGAACCTTTTTGAACAGGGTTCTATATATGTCAAGCCTGTAACAATAGAAGAACCCTTTTTGGTGCTATATAGAACCATTTGCAAAAATGTTCTAGATAGAACCATCTACAACATGTTCAACATTAATCTGAAGAACCATGCAGCGATGGAAAGAACCCTCTAATCATCCAAAGCATTCTTTAAGCGTTCATGGTCCCTTATAAAACCAATTTCTTTTCTAAAGAACCCTGAAGAACCATGGTTTTTAAGAGCGTATAGTGGACCAGCTTAAGACCCAATAAACTGGCAACAAAACAAGAAGAACATTGAAACCAGAATATTAACAGGTGTGTATGAAAACAGCAGGAAGTGAAATGTTTACAGTAGTCATCATTTTAAAGAACACAGATAAAACTGTACATTTACATCAGTTAAACACACACAAACTGTTCTAGTTTACAAAATCGTACAAAAATATAAACTCTCAAATGAGCCCACAATTCCAGATTGTGTCCTTTTGCCCAAGAAACAACCAAAACTCACATTTCTGCTGGACGTTTAGCACCAGAAGATTTTAATAGAGTGTAGAGTGATTCAGAGTGGTTTGGTGTGAAATGGTTCAGGTCTCTTTACAGTGGTGGTGATAGGAACCAGACGTCGCCAACACAAATATAGACATTTTATTTACTATCCAGAACCACCAGTGAACCTACACGAGTCTTCTGAGTTTATATGGAATGTTGATGATGGGAAATAGTGGAAAATCTGAAATAATCAGTTTTCTTTGGGGACTATTTTGCCTCACAGCGCCCTGCATATTATGTATCCCTCCACCATGAATGGAGTTTAAGACCAAAATCTTCTCAAAACTATCATAAAACAGCGTCTCAGTCATCAGGCAGTGAATTCATAACCATTTCATGTAGTAACTTTCTGTGAGGGAGCTTTTAGAGGTGGACGTCTGGTTCCCATCACCACCACTATGGACTCAACTCTGTAAGTTTATCTAGAACGAAGCATTTCACACTAAACCATTCTGAACGCCTCTGTTTACTAATTTGTTTAATAATGCTTGTTAATTATCAGTGAGCTGTCGACTGGTTAATAGAAAAGTAAACAACTGTCAGCAGCAAAACAAACTATACTTTCAACATGAAAATAATCATGTAGGGCCATAAAGCTAAATGGTATGTAAAGTTGTGTATTATAAAGTCAAGTGTAGTTAAAGCTAACCTTACTCACAGAAAGTTAAAGTAATAGCTTAAACTAAAACAGCTGACCATAAACATTTAAATCTGACCTGAAGCTCGTCCATTTCAGACAACTTTTAATGCCCAATCATCTGTCTAGAATTGTTTGTGGTTATAAATGAATACCATTCAACACAAACGTGGAAAACTCTGGAAGTAAATAAAGGAGGATTCAGACATTTGCCACGAACTTGCATCCCATGTTCACATTAGCGGTCACGAGCGTCCAGTCGCTTCCGATTTAAGTAGATGATCTGTAGCTGCCGTTTAGCGACAAGTGACGAATGGAGTTGAAATTTTCTCAAGGTTATGCAAATTATGAAGCAACAGTCAAAATCAGGGGTCTCAAACTATCAGGGGTCTCAAACCACCAGCCCGTAACTCATTTCCCGGGCTACGTATTTCCATATGATGGCTAAATTAGCTTCACTCTCAGACACTGTGTCTGGTTCTCCGGCCTGAGCTCTAAATCAGGGGTCACAACCCAAATGTTAAGAAGAGCCATTTTGTCCTTTCAACAAAAATCAAACCACTTTGGGAGCCACAACACTTTATATCCATTACATCATCTTGGCTGTAAATATGTCTCAGTATGTGTTGATGTACTATTATAGGCTAAAGAATATAATATAAATGAAAACAAAGACTTGCTGTGCTCTGCTTTGAGCTTCGGCTCAGCTATAGGTGCTTTTCTCACATCTCCAGCAGGAAACTTTTCCTCAAAAGTGGAACAGTTTTCTTGTAAAATGTCTCTCAATGTTCGACTTTTTACAAGGATGAGGTCAGCCTCTTATTGGCCAGCTTCTTGTACGAATTTTCCCGTTCCACCTTAAATGATGCCTGAGGTGCCAGAATGTAACTGCTGCACCATTTAAGGTGGAACTAGAAAATTCGATGAAGATGCTGGTGACTTCAGCTTCGCAACTTTTTAGTATTTCAGTTTTTATTGTCGCAGATTAAACGTGTCAGGAAACCAGCTGGAGTGATCATAAATGCAAATCAGTCCATTCGTCTCCAAATTATCGATGTTCGTCTTAAATCTCTCTCTTTGTCTTTTCGTTAGCTATTAGCTAGGCGAGACTGTTGTCTGCGTTGCTATGGTGACCAGCAGTCTGTGCTGATCTTCAGGGTTAAAGGGTGAATTAGCAGTTCTACATTAACTCCAGAGTTTAAGACCATTTATTGTTAAACTGTGTTGAACGATCAGCAGAGCTTTATTTTACTGTAAAGGAGGATTATTTTATTTTTACCTACGAATCTAATTCTGCTGTGGAGCCACAACAGGACAGCAAAAGAGCCACATGTAGCTTTGGAGCTGCATGCTGCCGAACGCTGGTCTATAAAATCAGCTCAGACTGATGATTCGGATGTGAGGAGGAACCATTCTGATGCAAACCTGACGCAGTGTGAACGCTGCACAGACGGTAATTTAGTTACAACTAACACAGCTTTTATACTAAGTTAGGCCGATAATTAGTTCATCTGCCTTTGTGGATTCATTCAGGACACAGCAGGAGTTAAAACACCTCACAATTAAGACACGTATGGCTTTGCATATCACTTGCAATAACCTCATTTGTGTTCAATGCTATCATAAAAAGAGTATAATTTTACTGAAAAATGTAAGTTTGCTTGATTTTATTGAACAATATCATATTTATTATATGTTACATAGCCTGTCGTAATGACACAGATGCTAATGCACATTGACTAAGATGCACTTATCTTTCACAGTTAAGATTTATACTTGGAAAAAATACCCAAATATTAGTTTGTGTTAGGTAAAACGTGTTTTGGAGAAGACCACCTGGCTAGTGGTCTCCAGGTGAGCTGAGTTTGAGACCCCTTGACTTTAATGACTAACAACAAATTCCTCCAGCCGATCGACACAGGGTTGTCCAAGGTCCCCAGTCTTTTTTAGCTTTTTGTTGTTACCGGCATTTCATTCCTGTTTCTAATATCACTGTGCAAAAAATGCAAACCTATGAACTGTAATACTTTGCAAACTTGTACCTGCAGTTCTTTATATTCAGTGGGTATTTTTGTCAGAAGCTCGACAGCAAACAACAGCAGCCTCGAACACACTTTCAAGAGACAAATTAGGGCGAGATTAGCGACTTGTTGCCTCCCAATGTGATAAGTGTGGTTTGCGAAACCATGTCACACCTTGCTAGTGTTGATGTTAGCGATGTTAGTGCTAAACATTAGCATAAGGCTTTTAAGTCTGACCTAAATTCCTAAACAGGTTTCGCTTGAGTTGGTCACTGTCTGGCTTCTTTCCTCTCTTAGCTTACTTAGAAAATTAGCAAAATTATGTATAATGTGTTTCAATGTATCCCCAGTTGGGAAGTTTAGCATGTAAGGTGTTAAAGAGTGACTTTTTACCAGGCTGTGATTGGCTGAAAGCTTTAGCATTACGCTGTAGGCCCAGCATATTTAGCCTGCAGCCCACTAGCATATAGCACAGTCACATGCTTGTGAAATTTTGAAAGTAAATTGTTAAATACTACAATTACTCAGCCATTTGAACAGCTAGCTTGCTGTATTCTAAGAGCAGTGTTTGCCCCATCAGCTCTACGAGTGACGTCGATGCTTCTGAATCTGGAGTTGTGGCTAAAACCGTTAGTCATGTTGATGTTTGTAGCATATTCACTGATTAGCAGCAGGGCGTCGACTCGCTGGACTTTTCTGAGCGCCTGCAGTAAATCCGGAACAGTCAGCAGAGTGGTGGATGACAGGAAATGAAAGAGATGCTCAAAACCCTGAAGTCCCGACAAAATGTCAGACGGTAATCCCAGGTGCAGCGCCACCTTCTGGTAGTTGTTTACTCCAGGAAACACGGGGTCCAGCTTTCAGCGCCAGGGATTTCACCAGCCAGAGCGGAAGAGATCCTAAATGCATTCCTGAAATTTAACAAGAGAGTGTCTTGAGCGTGGAGCTAAATTAGTTAGCAATTAGACCAGTGAGTTTAATCCAGTATGAATGTGCAGTGTGTAGTTTTACAGTCTGACTGTAATAATTGTGGAGTGATTTTAATCCAGTATGAATCTGCAGTGTGTAGTTTTACAGTCTGACAGTAATAACTGTGGAGCGATTTTAATCCAGTGTGAATCTGCAGTGTGTGTAGTTTTACAGTCTGACAGTAATAATTGTGAGCGATTTTAATCCAGTATGAATCTGCAGTGTGTGTAGTTTTACAGTCTGACGGTAATAATTGTGAGTGATTTTAATCCAGTATGAATCTGCAGTGTGTAGTTTTACAGTCTGACAGTAATAATTGTGGAGCGATTTTAATCCAGTGTGAATCTGCAGTGTGTGTAGTTTTACAGTCTGACTGTAATAATTGTGGAGTGATTTTAATCCAGTATGAATCTGCAGTGTGTGTAGTTTTACAGTCTGATGGTAATAATTGTGAGTGATTTTAATCCAGTGTGAATCTGCAGTGTGTGTAGTTTTACAGTCTGATGGTAATAATTGTGAGTGATTTTAATCCAGTGTGAATCTGCAGTGTGTGTAGTTTTACAGTCTGATGGTAATAATTGTGAGTGATTTTAATCCAGTGTGAATCTGCAGTGTGTGTAGTTTTACAGTCTGATGGTAATAATTGTTTATCCAGTATGAATCTGCAACTGTGGAGTGTATGGTGTTCTGTAATTGGCTGAATCTGGAGCTCTTTTACATTTTAAAATCCTCACATTAAATAATTTAATTCATTATTAATTCTGAATTATCAAAATATTATACTGCTTTTTGTTGGAACTTTTAAAAAATAGAACAGCACAATAATAAAAAAAAAATAATAATGATAATAATAATAATAATAATAATTTCACAAATCCAGATGTCTCAATGTCTTTTAAAGCAATATTAACAACAAATTTGATATAATTTACATTTCGACAGTTAAGCTTCAGTTTAATTCCTGATATTTTCTGTGTTAAAATGTTTTTGACTCTACAGAGCTCAGAGATTTTGCACAGATAAATACCCAAGAATTATAACCCCAAGAATTTAAAAGCATGATTTTTTAAAAGCTTTTTTAAAAGCTTTTCCATTTTTCAATGCCATACTAAAAGATTTTACGCTTGGAAGCTGCTTACCTTGCAAGGAGGCACAACCTCTTTCCATTAGCTGAGACTCAGACATCTGTTGAAGGAGAGATGAAGATAAATATTTCTGAATATGTTTCTATGTGTTAATATGTCTTTTATACTCAAACAGTAAACCAGTAGCGTATTGAATTAAACCCTAATGGAGCTGTAAAAGAGCTCCAGATAACAGCCAATTACAGAACAGTATTCACTCCACAGTTATTGCTACACAAACTGCAGATTCATACCGGATTAAAATCGCTCCACAATTATTACCGTCAGACTGTAAAACTACACACTGCAGATTCATACTGGATTAAAATCACTCCACAATTATTACTGTCAGACTGTAAAACTACACACACTGCAGATTCATACTGGATTAAAATCACAATTATTACCGTCAGACTGTAAAACTACACACACTGCAGATTCATACTGGATTAAAATCACTCCACAATTATTACTGTCAGACTGTAAAACTACACATACTGCAGATTCATACTGGATTAAAATCACAATTATTACTGTCAGACTGTAAAACTACACACACTGCAGATTCATACTGGATTAAAATCACTCCACAATTATTACCGTCAGACTGTAAAACTACACACTGCAGATTCATACTGGATTAAAATCACTCCACAATTATTACTGTCAGACTGTAAAACTACACACACTGCAGATTCATACTGGATTAAAATCGCTCCACAATTATTACTGTCAGACTGTAAAACTACACACACTGCAGATTCATACTGGATTAAAATCACAATTATTACCGTCAGACTGTAAAACTGAACACACTGCAGATTCATACTGGATTAAAATCGCTCCACAATTATTACTGTCAGACTGTAAAACTACACACACTGCAGATTCATACTGGATTAAAATCGCTCCACAATTATTACCGTCAGACTGTAAAACTACACACTGCAGATTCATACTGGATTAAAATCGCTCCACAATTATTACTGTCAGACTGTAAAACTACACACTGCAGATTCATACTGGATTAAAATCACAATTATTACCGTCAGATTGTAAAACTACACACACTGCAGATTCATACCGGATTAAAATCACTCACAATTATTACTGTCAGACTGTAAAACTACACACACTGCAGATTCATACTGGATTAAAATCACTCACAATTATTACTGTCAGACTGTAAAACTACACACACTGCAGATTCATACTGGATTAAAATCACTCACAATTATTACTGTCAGACTGTAAAACTACACACACTGCAGATTCATACTGGATTAAAATCACACCTCAGTCACTTTAATGTGTCAAATACAATTCAAATCAGTGATCTAGATATGTGTCCCAGTTTGACCAGTCAATTTTTCACAGACGTTTTTTCATCATGACGTCACACATGCCTGCGTAGTTACTATGACAACTGGTGTGGACATACAAGCAAATGCAAGTACATTCAGACTTTCCTTTCTAGTCACTTCCAACTTGCACTTACTCTAAAAACTGGATTTAAGACCCAGAACCGATTCGGCTCATTGATTGAATAAAGCCTGTAATTACAGAACAGCTCCAATAAACTTTCACACTCTCTCTCTCTCTCTCTCTTTTCTCTCAACCACCCACCCAAAGAAACTTTCACACTCAATCCCATCCATCCGTCAGTCACCGAGCTGCTCTGAGTGACAGGCAGAGGCTGGGAGAGCTGTCAGTGCGTTTTGGCCAAAGTTTTACACCAGCACTCTCATCACTGCTCAAAGAGGGTGAAGTTTCACGAGAACTTTTATTGAAAGCTGCCTGCATAAGGACTTTATAACACACGCATCAGCAGTGAGCAGTACTTGAGTAGTTATGAACAGTTCATGCCATTAATCAGATGGTAATAATTAAACAAGATTACTGAAGACATTTTTGGAAGTAAATTACACTGTATTAATGAAAGGAACTGTACTCTAAAGTTGCGAATATTGGTTCCACTTAAAATATTGTTAGGAAGCATTGTTCCCAAATAATATATATATATATATATATATATATATATATATATATATATATATATACACACACACACACACACACACACACACACACACACACATATCTATCTATATGTACATATTGCTGCTGTCGGAACAAAACCTCATATCTACAAAATGGTAACTTTACAGGAGAAGGAAAAAACTGACTTTACTTTTAATGTAAGTCAATGGAACCAGAATAATCTTCAAGTCATTTTGAACCATTTCTTTTGTTCAATTCATTGTGAATTTCACACACGATGTAAAGAGCAATGGGCATTTTCAAATTATGTCAAAAACTGAAAAACAACAAAAATACAAAAATAAGATAAAAATAAGATCAGATATATATATATATACACACAACTTACTCTGCTTTCATGTATGCAGTCATAATAAGAGTAACTCAAATTACTTTTACATTGACACTCAAGTAAATTTAAAAACAAGTAACTTTGTGCTTCTCTACTCAAGTAGAAATATAGACACAAAACTTCAGGAAGTTTGAAGGTGTCAGAATCTTCCCTAGAACTGATGAATCATCACTGTCAGAACAAGAAGTTATATCTTTATTTTTGTCATATTTATTTATTTTTTTGTGGGGGGGTATACATCAGCTGTGTCAAACTTTTATGACAAATGGACCAATAGTAATGGCCCAAAATGACCTAATGAGAAACTGTAGAACAGACTCGGTTTATATCACAATACCTACATTTAGAGTCGGTTATTCATTCAGCCTAATGAGAAACTGTAGAACAGACTCAGTTCATATCACAATACCTACATTTAGAGTCGGTTATTCATTCAGCCTAATGAGAAACTGTAGAACAGACTCAGTTTATATCACAATACCTACATTTAGAGTCGGTTATTCATTCAGCCTAATGAGAAACTGTAGAACAGACTCAGTTTATATCACAATACCTACATTTAGAGTCGGTTATTCATTCAGCCTAACGAGAAACTGTAGAACAGACTCAGTTTATATCACAATACCTACATTTAGAGTCGGTTATTCATTCAGCCTAATGAGAAACTGTAGAACAGACTCAGTTTATATCACAATATCTACATTTAGAGTCGGTTATTCATTCAGCCTAATGAGAAACTGTAGAACAGACTCAGTTTATATCACAATACCTACATTTAGAGTCGGTTATTCATTCAGCCTAATGAGAAACTGTAGAACAGACTCAGTTTATATCACAATACCTACATTTAGAGTCAGTTATTCATTCAGCCTAATGAGAAACTGTAGAACAGACTCAGTTTATATCACAATACGTACATTTAGAGTCAGTTATTCATTCAGCCTAATGAGAAACTAGAACATAGTGAGTTTTTATAATGTGGGCAGAGCCTAGAATAGTCTTCTTCGCTTATATAAACCTATTGTACTTTCTGTTAGCATAAGAAATACACATAAAAACCCTGACATTATTATTATGCTCCAGATGTGCGTGACATAGGTGAGTTTTCTGAGCGAACGTGTGACACGTGTGTGTGTGTGTGTGTGTGTGTGTGTGTGTGTGTGTGTGTGTGTGTGTGTGAGAGAGGAGGCAGGGCTGTGTGAGAGTGTGTATCCTGAAAAACACTCATTACCAGGGTGACACTTCTGGCAGCAGCATCTCCACAGCAGCTCCTCCTTTCTCCGTTTCCCTCTCCTCTCGTCTCTCCTCCGCCCCATCCCCCTCCCCCCGTCTCTCTCTCTCCGTGCTGGATGGAGTGTGTGGTGGAGGGAGGCTGATTCTGTGTGTGTGCAGATGCCTGGAGATCCAGAGGTAAGGAGACGTGTATGAAGTCCAGCTCGGAGCACTCTACAGGAGCGTGATGACCCCAGGCCGACTCCTGCTCCACTGCACAGTGCTGCCCCCCGCTGGTCAGGTCATCTGCAAAGGTGAAAAACAGTGATGTGTTCAGAAAACAAAACTAAGTGCTAGTTACTCAAGTTAGTCACGTCCAAATCCCACCAGCTGGCTTGGTCTCCTTCTATTACATGATGCTAACAAGACATGTGAGACACGTGAAGCTTCACCACATCTTTTGAAACTGCAGCAAAGCCAGTGGAGTTCAACACACTTGGAGGAGAATGCTAACTGCTAATTGCTGCATCAGCTCATAGACGCCTGTGTTGTCTAGCCATGTATTGAGTAATTGGGGGAGAAGGAGAACCATTCTACCCAATCAGAAGGAGACAGGACAATTATGATCTCATATTTATGGATATGGAAGGCTGGGGCATCACCTGAGATCAAATCCATGATGTCCGGACAGTAGAGCTAACACTTTAATGAGTTTAAAAGCAAACAGATGACATCTGGTGAGTTTTTGTTGCCAGGGCTGAGCTGTTGTTGCTCCTAGACATTTCCACTTCTCAATAACAACACTTACAGTTGTCCAGGGCAGCTCTATCAGGTCAGAAATTTGACGAACTGACTTCTGACTTCTGTTACAGCACCACTCTAAAGCCCAATCCCATTTCAGCCCTCGCCTTTAACACTTAGCCCTTACCCTTTGTTTTGCTTGCTCACGTCTAGGGTGGGGTGTCCTGATTGTTGTTGAGATAGAACAGTAGAGTGAAGTGTCAGGGCTACATGACCCACCAAGCAAAGGTTTTTCTTACTCCAAATGGAGTTTTATGAGAAAAAAGAGAAACTGGTGAGATTAGCGACCAAAGAAACCCACAAATGTGAGAATTTTGTCAGTTGAAAATGACAATAATCATCTTATTCTCTTAGTTTAATATCATTTCAGTGTATTATGGTCCTTTTCTTCATAACAAGCATAAAAAATCGCTAGTAGCATGCTAATGTCTCAGTAGCTAGCAAGCTAAACTTACCGTTCCACCTTAAATGGTGCAGCAGTTACATTCTGGGACTCCATTTAAGGTGGAACGGGAAAATTAGAACGAGAATCTGGTGAATATCAGACTTCAGCTTCATATCACTGAAGAATTAGGGGTGGGTGATGATAAATAATTGCCCCCCTCTTTGAAGGCATATGATGCCCTAAATGTAACTGAAGCCCAGCAGTGAGGAGCTGAACTTTACCCTCCTCTGCTGTCACTGCAGACTGGCAGGGTCGCCTACAGAGCAGCGCTGGTAGCTGTTAATGAAGTGATGCTCTTTTTATTTGAGGGTCCCATTTCAGGGGGAGGATTTCAACCACTACCCCTTATAACTCAATTCTAAGGTCCAACACTCAAAAACAAAGGGGTAGGGGTAAAAATAAGAAATGGGACGGGGCCTAAAAGTTTCTGAGCTCTTCACTACTGCTAGTGTTTGACTAAGGAGACTGCATAATTTTATTTCAAGGTTTTTGAGTTTGTCATATGCACAGCAAAAACCTCTTAAAAAAACTTTTTAATCTGCAGTCCTTTAGGTCGACAGCAAAAACTGCACAGATATTCTAAATAGAAGTTAGGAAAAGTATGATATATATATTAGGTACAAATATAGGAAGGCTAGCAAACCTGTGCATGCCCCTTAGTGTGGCTGAAATAGGTTAGCTCACTAATTAGAGGTGTCCACATACTTTTGGCCATAATTCATGTGTGTATCAAAGCAGCAACAATGCCTGGGCATTAACTGCATTAGCCTACTTTCCTTCTTTTTATTAGCCCTCTTTGATAACTGTTTTTATCTGATACCATGAAAAAAGTGAGTCACTGCACTCAGCGACTGTTTTCTAGCAAACGATAAAGCCTCATTCTCCAGCCTCAAAAACACGGAAAGGGCTTTTAGTTCAGAAATTAACTGGTCGTGTGTTAATTATGATAAAAATGTACTTAAATAAAAATAATGAATAAAATTTGGGCCGTACATGTACTCACGGACCAGCTCAGGCCTGAAGGGATGTCAGGTGACCCGGTTGCCTGGGAGACGACCCCAGATGTGTCACTGCAGATAGAGCTGCGTTGCAGAGGCAGTGACTCAGATGCAGTACAGTGATGTGGGTAGGGGTTAGGGGTTATTGCCATGGAGACCAAACCAGGGCAGGTTGAGGACTCACATAGTTCTGCAAAAGAATAATGATATATATATATATTTATATATATATATATATACATATATATGTATATACTATAATCTTTGCTAACTACATGTTTAAAAAATATAAAGATTTGATCACATTTTGAAATGCAAAGTATTCTGGATTTTAATGTTATTATAATTTAATCCCATAATTCTTTAATTTAATTCTATAAATTCAATCCATCTCTAACATTTCTTTATGTTTTACAGCTTTGTATCAATTATCTCAAAGCAACATTATATTAATAGATTTTTATATATTCATCTAGTTTTGTATGATATTTTTATCCATGTATATTATTTATTTATATTCTGCATATAGAGCGAGATTCCAAACTCTTCAACACTAGTGTACATTTATACTAAGCATATTTCCAATAATACACATATGATTTGATATAAAATGCTGTGGTAGCACCTTTCACAATACAGACGGGACACACTCACCCGAAGCCTCAACATCGGCTGACTGGGTCACTCTGTGCTCATCAGAAACAGAGGAAGCAGCGAGGTCACGGTGACCTAGGCCTGGCGGTGATAAACAGCCTGGGAGAAGATTTCCATTAAGTTCAATACACATGTGAAAGTATAGGACAGTGTGTATATGTGTTCATGTGAGTGTGTGTTTGTAAAAGTGCACATCGCTGCTGTAACAAAACCTCATATCTCCATTTTTGTTGTTTTTCAGTTTTTGACATAAATGACGATGAATGGACCGAAAGAAACGGCCCAAAATTACTTAGAAAAAATTCTGGTTCCATTGACTTACATTCAAAGTAAAGTATGGTTTTTCCTTCTACTGTAAAGTTACCATTTCGGAGATATGAGGTTCTGTTCTGACAACAGCGATATATATATATATATATATATATATATATGTGTGTGTGTGTGTGTGTGTGTGTGTGTGTGTGTGTGTGTGTGTCACCTTTGAACATGCTCCTGAATAAGCCGAATCCTTTGTACATTAAAACCACAATGACAAACAAAACGGTCACCATGGTAACTGCCACCACACAAGCAGTCGTCATGACAGCAACGTTGTGGGGCGGGGCCTCCGAGCTCCAGACATTTCCTACATTGTCCCCTTCACTTCCTGCCAAACAACACATCAGTTACACCTTCTGCAAGACCATTTAGGAAAGAGAGAGAGAGAGATAGAGAGAGAGAGAGAGAGAGAGAGAGAGAGAGAGAGAGAGAGAGAGAGATATATTGTGTCTCCTTACTGCACTGTGCGTTTCTGAAGGGGGCGGGGCCACAGGGCAGGCATTCTAAATCCTGAAATCCGTCCAGTCGTCTTTTACTGTAGAACCTTGGCAGAGAAACAACAGGAAAGCTCAAATTAACAAACGATTATTCATCATTCAATTATTAATAAAGTGTAAACTCAGTACTAAGTTATTGTTTTGGCCAAATTCAAATTCTCATTTATTTTAATTTAATATTTATTAATAATATTTTATTCAAATTCTCAGTTATTTTCAAACATAAAAATCCAAAAAAGTGCTGTGTGATTGTCTGTTCTCCACCACTGTATGACCAGTTTATATATTTATATTGTGTATTTTTTTTTAATTATAATTCTGAATCGTATAAAAATGAATCAAATCAAAACAGCACTTGTACAAAAGTCTGTAGACAGCATTTCATCTGAAATAAAGGGTTCCGTTGCTGCAGTAACAGCCTCTACTCTTCTGGGACAGCCTAAATGTTGGAACATTGCTGTGAGGATTTGATTGCATTCAGCCACAACAGCATTAGTGAGGTCAGGTACTGATGTTGGATGATCAGTTCTGGACAGAGACGTTATAAAGAAGGGGAAGCTCATGATGCTCAATGTGGCGCTTGTTTTACTGAGAAAGTCCCACCCCTCAATAAAAAGAGCCAATCAGCTCACTAGATACATAGCGAGCGGGGAAAGCCCCCCTTGTTGATGAGGCCCGTGTAAACAGACAGCCTGAACAACCCAAAAAAACATTTTTTTTGCATTATTTGAGCAAAACATTACAGACTATTTATGAGTTTTGTCAGATTTTATCAGTGATTTGAAAAACGTGTTTGAAACTCTAATTTGACCTTCAGTTTGGAGTTTTTAGGTCACTCCCCATTCAGAGAGAGAGGAGTCTGGTCTTGTATGGCTGGTCTTGTATTAACTCTTCCCAAAGGTATTGGATCGAGCTCCATCACTCCGGGTGGCTTTATACCCCTCTGGCCCACGCTGGCACTGGACATGGTGACCTCAGGCTCATGTGCAGCTGATCTAAAGCGTCCCATTCTATTGCTCAATGCTTTTCTATGGCCAAAACATTTGGACCCATTTTTAGTTTGCGCCACAAAATCAACGAACATACACTGACATGCCGGTAACTATTATTGTGTAGGAACCCCTCTAGCCCCCTCTATGGAACCACCACTAGCTATCACAGCGCCTTGTTGACAACTGGGGTCCATGGCTTCATGGGGTCTGCGCCACACAGGAACCCGACCGTCAGCCCGAAACAACTGGTACCATGACTCATCAAACCATGCCACATGTTGCCAGTCTTCTAGGGTCCAGTTAGTAACCTCACGAGCCCAGGTGAGGCGCTGTGTCCGGTGTCGTAGTGTTAACAGAGCCACTCTGGTGGCCACTCTGCATGTGGGGCCTCCTGGATTGAATGTGGACGTGATTTCTGCCAGAGTCGCTTGTCTGTTTGCACAGAGAATTCTAACCAGACGCTGCCGGTCATGATCATTAAGCACCTGTGGGCGGCCACAGCGCTGCCCACTGTAGGTGGTAATGCCTTCTATGACATATTTCCAGCACATATGTGACACTGTGGATCGAGGAATGTTAAATGCCCACACAACTTCGGAAATGGAATGACCCATCCCTCTGGCACTCACTATCATGCCTCGTTCGAATTCCGATAATTCACATCGCCTTGCCGTGAGCACGCCGGCCAATGTTTGACCTCACTCGCAAGATAACACCTCACAACTTATACAGGTGTGGATGTTCCCAAGCCGTCCCGTGAGGCAACGCAACTAAGCAGAAAAGACGTCCTTCGTTCCTCACAAAACAGACAAAAGGCTAAAATGGACAGACCACTCTCCATTTTGGAAAAGTGAAGGCAGCGTAGGGAGCTTCATCACTTCACTCAGGAGCTGGAACTTTGAGTGCTCCCTCATATATCTCAGATGTTTGGAGCCTAGTTTGAGCTGCTTTTGGAGATGATAGCTCTATCCGTGACAAAGCAGAGGACAAACTAATCTTTTTTGACGTTTGTGGAAAAGTTCTAGTTGCAGGGACACAGCTGATCTGTCAACCTGGTTATCTATCAGAACATGTTAGGGAAAAAAAAGGGGAGAAAAATAAGCTTAAACTTCAGCCTCGGCCTTTTCACTTAGTATATTTTTGTTTTGTTTGTCTTTCCCATTAATTTAAGACTTTTTTTTAATTTATTTCTATGTTTGTATTTATTTTGGAAAATTGTAGACAAGAACTGAAATAAACAATCCACAACAACAACAACAGCCATGCCAGTGTCAGTTCTATTGGTTCAGTTATCATGAAATTTTCATACATACTTTATATTTACACCAATCAGGCATAACATTCTGACCACCTCCTTGTTTCTGCTCTCATTGTCCATTTTATCAGCTCCATTTACTATATAGGTGCACTTTGTAGTTCTACAGTTACAGACTGTAGTCCATCTGTTTCTCTGATACTTTGTTAGCCCCCTTTTACCCTGTTCTTCAGTGGTCAGGACCCCCATGGACCCTCACAGAGCAGGTACTAGTTGGGTGGTGGATCATTCTCAGCACTGCAGTAACACTGATGTGATGGTGGTGCGTTAGTGTGTGTTGTGCTGGTGCGAGTGGATCAGACACAGCAGTGCTGCTGGAGTTTTTAAGCACTGTGCCCACTCACTGTCCACTCTATTAGACACTCCTACCTTGTCGGTCCACCTTGTAGATGTAAAGTCAGAGACGATAGCTCATCTGCTGCTGCACAGTGTGTGTTGGTCATCCTCTAGTCCTTCATCAGTGGTCACAGGACGCTGCCCACAGGACGCTGTTAGCTGGATGTTTGTGGTTGGTGGACTATTCTCAGTCCAGCAGTGACACTGAGGTGTTTAAAAAACCGCACTGCTGTGTCTGATCCACCCATATATACATTTAGAGTATGTGTGTGTGTGTGTGTGTGTGTGTGTGTGTGTGTGTGTGTGTGTACATACCCAGGCAGGCAGTCTCCACACGCTGCGTTGTGTGTGCGCGTACAGGGTGTTATTTCCTGTCTGTTGAGGTGTCGGCAGGTTTGACACATCCGGCAGGAGTGAGAACCCCATTCACCTTTAAACCAGCGCTCCTCACACTGCACACACACAGCGGAGACCCCCACACCGTATCCACACTCCTGAACACAATAAATATATACATATACATTCAAACACACAAACATAGACATTTACACAGTGCATTCAGTGAATTCTGAGCAGAAATGAATGGAATGTAATGCACCTTTCACTGCGTTACTTCTGCTGCGTCCCAAACTGCATACTAGCACACTGAACAGAAAGCATTAGAAGTGCACTCATTCGTGTCAAAGGTGAGGTATAGAAGTGAGACAGGGAGACAGTCCAGCAGCCCCAGTGGCTGATTATAGCTCTGCTGTGTTTAGTGTAAGCTCATATAAAACTAAATTGCTTTAGGTTAGGGGTGCGGGAAAAACTCGATTCTTAGATGCATCGCGATGCGGACGTGAACGATTCTGAATCGATTCATAAATGTCAAAAATCGATTTTCTAAATATTTAATTTATAACGTAATGTTGACGGAATGCAAAAGGCGGAACTGGAAGTGGGTAAGTGCAGCGCCCGGACAGTCTGTGGCGGCACATAACAAAACCACTACTGGATGAGTGAGAAATCCGACCGGCTCCCTCTGCATTAAAGCCAGGTTAGGTCAGGAGTCACAACACACATGTTAAAAAGAGACATTTTGTCCTTTCAACAAAGTCAAACCACCTTGGGAGCCGCGGCATTTAATGTCCAGTATGTCTCAGTATGTGATAATGTTGTAGTACGGGCTAAAAATATAAACGAGAGTGCAGATTTACTTCGCTCTGCTTTAAGCTTTAGTTATAGCCGCTTTCCTCCCATCTCCGCCAGAAAACTTTTCTTCAAAACTAGAAGAGTTTCTTGTAAAATGTCTCAGCGTCCGGCTGTTTTACGAGGCTGAAGTCGCTTCTCATTCACTTCTCGTTCTAATTTTCCCGTTCCACCTTAAATTCTGCCTTAGGCGCTGAATGCAACTGAGGCACCATTTAAGGTGGAATGGGAAAATACGAAAGGGAAGCGAGTTCATTTTTGCAACCTTTTAGAGAAAGACAGTCTCTCATTGTAGATTTAACCAACCGCGCTGCTTATAAATGCGAATAAGTCTCCAAATGTTCGTCTTAATCTCTGTTTTTTCGTTCGCTACTGGCGAGGCCGGACGTCGGTGCTATGTGACCTGCTGTCTGCTGTCTGTTCTCGGTCGTTGAGAACCAGGGCTTTCGCGCCACCATCATATATGTATATGAGCTTATTATTTAAGAGCTTTGGCAGTTTTGTTTGCCATTTTTATTTTTTAATAAAATCTCATGGATTGGAATGTTCTAAACTTCAGGCATGTGCTGGTTATACGGATCTAGTCCCCCATTTAAGCTAACCCTCTCCTCGTAGTGTTTTCTGGACACACATCTGAAGTGTCCAAGTATCTCAATCTTTTTTCAAGGTCATTCTGGCTGTTTTACTTGGCCTTCATTGACCTGCAGGGTTGTAGATGCAGCAACAGTGATGCAGCAAGCCATGCCAGCGTATGTTCACATTAGCAGGCGACAGAGCTAGTAGAATAGCCAATATGAATATCCAGAATAGAGGAAGCACTAATTAATGTTAGCAATGTAGCACAAACCTTTTACTATTTCTTCTCCATTGATTATAAATAAAAGCATGAAACTGTATGTTACACAGTCAGTCAAGAGAGTCTATTATTGCCTTCACTTTTGCTGTTTATGGTAGGAGTGTTAGCCAGCTTGCTAAGTGCAGTGTTAGCTTCTTGGCTAAGCACAGCTGCACGCAAGTCACTGCGCTGCTGCCAACCACACCGATTACATTTTTTTCACTTTCTTTTATTTGATTAGAAAAGGAACCGATCCAATATCAGGGAACATACAAAGTATACAGTAACATGTACAGTAATATTATAATATTGTTTGTTGCTTTAATCTGTTGGGATCTCTGTTGGATTTTACCTTTGGAGGGAAAGTGTGCTGAGCGTGTGTTGAAGCATTGCTGTAGCTAAGCTACTAATAAAGATGATTAATCGCAGGTTTAACCACAAGAAGGCACTTCAGTCAACATTAGGTTAAAGCTCTAAGGACACTGCTGAGGGAAAACACTGCAGTTTAGTATGATGGATTAACACATCAATCCAGCCTTTCTTATTATTATTTCCACAGCAGCTGCATGGAACAGGGCCGATATTGGCCACCGGTTCTAACTAGGTGTACTAGCTGAGTCTATGTGACTGGACTGGACCCAGCTAAAGCACTTCATTTACTTCAGTGGGGTACAAAGATCAGCGTGATCATGACCGCATGAACAAGCTTAAGCTTTGTATAGTGCGAGTCCTGTTTTTAGACAAGTTTCTGCCACAAGGTCACCATGTCCAATGCCTAGCGTGGGCTTGAGGGGTACAAAGCCCCCAGCACTGAGCTGTGGGGCTGTGTAGCAGTGGAGCTGTGTTCTCATGAGTGATGGAGCTCCATGAGTTGGAGTGATCCAGAACTGACCATTCAACATCTGCACCTGACCTCACTAATGCTCAATCAAATCCTCACGGCAATGTTCCAACATCTAGTGTAAAGCCTTTCCAGAAGAGTAGAGGCTGTTACTGCAGCAAAGTCCCAATCAATATCCTTCATTTCAGAAGAAAAGCTGGATAAGAAAGAAACTTTTGGACGTATAGGCTTTCATCCCTCGCCCCTACCACTTAGCCCTTTGCACGTTCACATCTAGGGGTAGGGTGTCCCGATTCTTGTTGAGATAGAGGGGTAAGGCGAAGCTTTAGGGCTACATGACCCTCCAAACTGAGGTTTTTCAGACTCCAAACAGAGAGTTATGAGAAAAAATAAATAAATAGCAAGGTGGCGGCACAAGAGAGTAAAGAAACCCACAAATGTGAGAATTTTCTCTGTTAAAAATTATGATAATAATTTTATTATCTTAGTTTATTGTTGTTTCAATGTATTATGGGCCTTTTCTTCATAACTAGCACAAAAAATCAGTACACTGATGTCTCGGTCTAGCTAGCTAAATTTCCTGTTCCACCTTAAATGGTGCAGCATTTTGGCACCTCAGTCATCAGAACTGCTGCTCCATTTAAGGCGGAATGGGAAAATTCAAACAAGAAGCTGGTGAATGTCTGACTTCAGCTTCATATCACTGAAGAATTAGGGGTGGGTGATAATAAATAATTGCCCCCCTCTGATATGATGCCCTAAATGTAACTAAAGCCCAGCAGTGAGGAGCTGAACTTTACCCTCCTCTGCTGTCACTGCAGACTGGCAGGGTCGCCTACAGAGCAGCGCTGGTAGCTGTTAATGAAGTGATGCTCTTTTTATTTGAGGGTCCCATTTCAGAGGGAAGATTTCAACCACTACTCTGTAACTCAGTTCCAAGGGGCAAGGAGACACTCGAAAACAAGGGGTAGGGGTAAAAATGAGGAATGGGACTGGGCCATAGTGTATATCAGAACTGTAATGTGTTTTAAACAGTGACTGGATTGAAAGTGATGCTCTTTCTCACCTCTTTCAGCTCCTGGCCCGGTGGACACTGCTGACATCTGTGGCATTCACCATGAAAATAATATTCATCTTCCGCACAATCCATCTCCAAGAAGAAAGAGAAAGTCACACATTAAAACAAGTTATCACGTATTCATGGAATTGCAGAAATAATAAACTGGAAAATTTCATGGTCAAATTTTCCTCTAATGTTGTTTTGCTTGTTTAGCTGTATTTAAGTCTAGCTCTCTATTCCACAATGTTGCCTCAGGGTAACAAACCCATTTTCCTCACTTTACAGTGACATGATACACATGCAGTGACAATGAATGGCTTAATATTGAAAGAAGGAGTATAAATACACAATAAATCTCTTACTGCATCACAAAATCGTCCATTTTCACAAACGATTTATAAGAAATTTCAAAAGATTCGGTCAGCAGCGAGTAAAGTGTCAGTTATGCGGCCTTTTCAGAGAACACTGCTGTTCTCGTTTACCTTTCATTTAAATTATTATTATTTTTATTATTTTATGTTTTTGTTTAGTGTGGAAAGCTAATTCTGATCACTTCAGAAATGGCTGGGTCCTTTTTGTTAGCATGGTTCAGCAACTGTCAACCGTAGTTCTAAATGATCGAATGACATTCAACACTTGAATTATTACATAATTATGTTGCATTACAGTAACGTTTTGGGTTTTTTTTAAGTATTTAAACTAATGAACGAATCCTGTATTCAGACATTTTCATTCCGAATATCTGGATAAAATTCTTGTTTTTCACATAAAAGTCTGAATTATCTCTTTCCATTGTAGCACATTGGAACATATGTTGGGGCAATTTCCATCCCTCAAACACCATCAGGCAATAGTGCAGCCTTGTGCATTTTCAGTCATCGCCTCAAAACCATCACAAAGCATTTACAGACTTCACTCATATACTGACAACATGGCTAAGCATTCTGACTAGTTCTCAATCAGAAACACAGGGTCTTCTCATTCTGACATTTTCATTGATGTTAATATATTTGGGACACAAGCTGAGGATTCTGAGCAAGTTATGGGCTTTTACTGGTAACCCTTTGTGTGGTGCTGTTTATATGAATTGTTCTGAGAAATATACTTACTGCTGTGCAATTGTTCACCATGATTCGAGAAATGCACCATTACAGAACAACATTAATGAAGCCCTTAAACTGCCTAAACTTAAATAAACACTTTGCGATTTTTTTTGCAATGAATGTAATTTTTTGAGTCGAATAAGATTCGTTCAGTTGCTTTTTACTACATGGGATGATGTTTTTAGGTTGATCAGTCGATCCATTTTTACACTGTAGATAGAAGAAGTACAGAAATAATCAGATAATAAAAGCAAACAAAGAAAGAAACAAATCCCTGTTGGAACGAAACCTCGCATCTCCATTTTTCTCGTTTTTCATGTCATCATAATGACATGATGAATGGACCAAAATAAACAGCCTGAAATGACTGGGAAAAAATGCTGGTTCCATTGACTTACATTAAAGTAAAGCATGCTTTTTCCTTCTCCTGTAAAGTCACCATTTTGGAGGTACGAGATTTTGTTCCAACAGCAGCGAAATAAATAAGTGAATGTGTGAATAGTAAAGAAGCAGGCGGTCCAGCTCAGGGCCTGCAGCGTTTGCAGTTTGGGGTCATTATGGGGAGCAGAGGGAGGAAAACAGCGGAGAGGCTTTCAGAGCCAGACTGTCCAGCACAGACACACTAATATTAATCAGCTCACTTCATACAGCAGACACTGTTAGTGTGTGTGTGTGAGTGTGAGTGTGTGTTTCCTCCTCTACTCTGACAGGTCTCACTCTTCACTCTCACAGCAGGTCCTAAATGACTGAGTCTATGAGTCACTCAGTCCAGTCTGGGTGGTTTACAGTCCACCCTGTATAGTACAGAGCTGGAGTTCCTCGTGCAGCGCGAGGGCTTCACCTCGCCGCTCTGTCAGCATGCAGAGCGAAATCAGCCGCGCGCTCGGTGAGCTCGTGCCTTATCCACGCTGCCGTTTCCGTTTCCATCACAAAGCTGAGAAACTCCTGATTAAATTCTGAATTAATTATTATATTCTTACCTCTTTTCCCCTCGAGCCCTGCAGCCCGCTCAGTCTCCGCTGCACCTCTCTCTCTCTCTCTCTCTCTCTCTCTCTCTCTCTCTCTCACACGCGCTCTCTGGCATGCCTCGACATGTCCCCGCGCTGCTCCGCGAGCGCACTAACGCAAATTTAAAATGCCGCGTGCGGAAAAAAGTGAGCGGTGTAAACAAATCTGGGCAATATATAAATATGTAGATATAATATACATACACCGCTCAGGCATAACATTCTGACCGCTTCCTTGTTTCTACGCTCATTGTCCGTTTTACACGTTGTAGTTCTACAGTTACAGACTGTAGTCCATCTGTTATATATATATATATATATATATATATATATATATATATATATATATATATATATATATTTTCCTGAACGGCATGCCGCAATATGTGTGTGTATATATATATATATATATATATATATATATATATATATATATATATATATATACACATTAAACACTGGAATAAATATAAATATTTGTATAGTATAATACAGAAGTCAACAGTCAAAATGTGCTGTTTTAAGTTTTTCAGTAAAGTTATAAGTAATAAAAAGTCCAAAACTCGGTTCAGACAGAGTTTTAAACACCTCAGTGTCGCTGCTGGACTGAGAACCCAAAAACATCCAGCCAACAGCGTCCTGTGGGCAGCGTCCTGCGACCACTGATGAAGGACTAGAGGATGACCAACACAAACTGTGCAGCAGCAGATGAGCTATCGTCTCTGACTTTACATCTACAAGGTGGACTGACGAGGTAGGAGTGTCTAATAGAGTGGACAGTGAGTGGACAGTGTTTAAAAACTCCAGCAGCACTGCTGTGTCTGATCCACTCAGGCCAGCGCAACACACACTAACACACCACCACGTCAGTGTTACTGCAGTGCTGAGAATGATCCACCACCCAAACAGTACCTGCTCTGTGAGTATCCTTACCTTACGGTGAAGAACAGTGTGCAGAGAAACAGATGGACTACCTCAGAGACGCGACTTGGCTTCATTCATGCTAACATTAATTAATGCCAACTTCATTAATGCAACCTTATTAACTTGATAAATGCATGGGTTCATTAACTTTACTTATGATTACTTATTAACTTTATTAATACAACTTTATTTACTTCTATCAAATCAAATTTCTACAAGCTCTTTAGTAGAATTTAATGCCTCTGAAAAATCCCTCTCTGAACGTTACTACATGAAATGGTTATGAATACTCTACAATGTCTAAGACAGACATGGTTTTGGATAGTAAATAAAATGTCTATATTTGTGTTGTAGTCATGGCGACCCCTGGTTCCTATCACCACCACTGTAAAGACATCTGAGCCATTTCACACCAAACCACTCTGAATCAGTGTTTTGAATTGGCCTTCAATTTAATTGCCCTGTCGGACCCAGACGTGAAGCTTCAGTACATCAAAATGAACACAAGGTGGCACCAGAGTCTCACAGCTTTGACCTCTGACCTCAATTCCTGACTCCCCGGACATACAAATGAATGTCAAACCTAGATTTTCTTTTTTTTTTCATTCCAATTCTAAGCATTGCTGGAGGAACGAGCTGAACTAGCATGTTTTTAGTGTGAGTATCTCAGCCAGTTACACCCATTATTGTGTTTATCTGATGGTTTTGTGACTTGATTGGGATTTGAAATCAGCTATTAAGGCAGCAGGGTGGTGTTTTGACACAAAAATGAGACTTGAAAATTGGAGTAAGAAATTACGTTTAATTGTGAAAGAAAAAAGTATATTGAGTAAGAGCCTGGGGGGTAAAATGAGCATGTGCTTTGTTTATTAGCAAGATGTGCAAGGTATAATCTACATTCACTGATATGACCTCAACAAGCTTAGACATTTGTCAGTATCTCTAACTCTCTGTCTGTCTTTCTGTCTCTGCTTGTACGTTTGAATGAAAGGGATCACTTTTTGGAAAGAAAATGTTGATATCCTATCACAGCTGGGATAAATAGGGAGTGTAAGTCACTCATAACTAGCACTGAGTATCAGAATGAATTACTTAAATACAGAGCCTTGAAAACCCCCCATTGCTGAAGCCCCCACACTACACAGCTTTCAAAACACCCACACTGCTGAACCCACACTATGCAGCATTAAACCCCCTCTACCTGCTGACCACCCTACTAGCCAGTCTTCAAAACCCCCACACTGCTGAGCCCCCCACTACACAGCCTTCAAAACATCCACACTGCTGAACCCCCACTACAGTGTTCAAAACCCCACACCACTGAACCCCCCCACTACACAGTGTTCAAAACACCCACACTGCTGAACCCCCCACTACACAGTGTTCAAAACACCACACCACTGAACCCCCCCACTACACAGCCTTCAAAACCCCACACAGCTGAGTGATTATAAATGCAAATGTGAAAACGTCTACAGTGGCGCTACGGACCCTGGCGACCCGGTACGCCCACCTGCCGGGATGTGCGCATGTTTAGCTTTTTGCAACTTTAACTATCTTATTGTTAGCTGTTCCAACATTCCCAGCTAACATGGCTAATCTAGTGTTTTGGCTATAGTTATTTATCGCTCTGTAGACATTAACTGACGGTATTGTGCTCTGATAGCTGTGAAGGAATTTTTCTTCAAAGTATTTACGTCCTTTATTCAGTTTGGACTCCACCATCGTTGTGTGTGTGGTTCTCCAACCATTCTGGACACGTCCTTGAATTCCAATCATGGCAACTATGACGTAATACAAATGCCTGTATTCCTGAGGTTAGTAACTGTCTGTGAGGCAATAGCGGAACTTGTTTTACCCAGGATTTACACATTTCCTTTTCTTGCACTTATTTGTGCTACTTAGCCACATAGTTTTTCATTTACCACACTTGCCAACCCAACAGTCAACCACATAAGGCACATTAAACTGAGCCTGCAAGGCAGAGCCAGGGAGTGGCAATCACACAAGCACCTGATCTCCTGAAGCAAATACTCACTGTTTAGCTTCCTTATTTTCTTATCATAAGATTTTTTTTACCTGAGCTGCTTCCAAATTTTCTTTTTCCAGTTCACATACTCTGGTAAGCTTAGCCTGAAAATTACAGACATGATCTAACAGATTAATAGGAGAAGCGTTGTCACCCAGGCATTTCTCTTTCAATAAATTCAATGGCCTTCTCGCGGAATGGCCAAAAACAAGCTCAGCTGGACTAAACCTAAGAAATTCCTGATTCACCTCTCTAACAAGGAGCAGTATAAAAATTCTACCAAAAAACCATACACAAAATTCGTCCCTTGGTCAGACTGGACAACCCTTGGCAAACCAAATACTGTGAAGAATGTGATCAATGCTTTGGAAATTACAGCAGCAGTGACTTTACGCAATGGGACCCCTTCAGGTAAACAGGTTGCAGCACACATAATAGTCAGCAAATCCTGATTTCCTGACAAGGAGTGGAGAAGAGGTCCAACACAGTCAGTTAGAATGTGCTCAAATGGTGCCCCATTTGCAGGAATAGGATGTAATGTGCTGTAGGATTTTCTGGTTGGGTTAACCAACAACTTGACAGATGTGACTTGTACGACAATGCTGCGCCACATCTGGCTCAACAGCAGGCCAGAAAAGGTGTCTCGGCACGTTTCAAAGTCTTTCTCGTTCCTAAATGACCAGCAAGAGAGTAGTGAGTTTTTCATTCACCAGTTTCTTGTGGATTTTGAATGGAATGGAAAAAACCCAAAATAAATTAAATATGGCTAAATTAAATATAACCAAATATGGCTAAAAGACTTTAAAGCTCGGACAAGGTGGAAAAGTTACAACGTTGCCACAACCGAAATGCAAGAAGAGTGATGGAAAAGGGCTTTTTGGATAAACGATGACATATCAAGCCATAAGTCACATGATTCTGTGATTCCTACAGATGGTCCGATTGTGGTGCGTAGCTTTACGATCACTTTCAACATTCTGCAATGCCTAATCCAGGGGTCGGCAAGCCAAATATTAAGAAGAGCCATTTGTCAAGTTTCAACAAAAATCTCACCACCTTGGGAGCCACAACATTTCATGTCTTTTTTAATGAAGTAATGTTTCACCATCTTGGCTGTAAATACATCTCAGTATGTGCTGATGTCCAAGTTTAGGCTAAAAAATCTAAACAAAAACACAGTCTTACTTTGCTCTGCTTTAAGCTTTAGCTCAGCTGTAGCCCCTTTTCTCGCATCTCCAGCAGGAAACTTTTCCTCAAAAGCAGAACAGTTTTCTTGTAAAATGTATCGCAACGTTCAACTTTTTACGAGGCTGAAGTCGCTTCTCATTCTCCAGCTTTTTGTTCGAAATCTCCCATTTCACCTTAAATGGTGCCTGAGGCGCCAGAATGTAACTGCTGCACCATTTAAGGTGGAATGGGAGAATTCCAACAAGAAGCTGGTGATTGAGAAACTGACTTCTGCTTTGTGACTTTTTAGTGTTCCGGTTTCTCGTCGCAGATTAAACGTATCAGGAAACCAGCTGGAGTGATTTATAAATGCTAATAAGTCCATTCGTGTCCGAATGATTGATGTTTGTTTTAAATATTTCTCTTTGCCTTTTCTTTAGCTACTAGCTAGGTGAGATTATCTGCGTTGCTATGGTGACCAGCAGCCTGTGCACTGATCTTCAGGGTTAAAGGGTGAATTGGCAGTAATACGTTAACTCCAGCGTTTAAGACCATTTATTGTTAAAGAGCCACGTGTTGCCGATCCCTGGCCTAATCCAGTGCTTGTTTGAAAAATGGCTCCCGGAACTGTCTAATGCGTTTGCGTTCCCAGATGTAAGGTAGACATTGTCTGGGTGGCACCGAGATTTCTGTCCCCATTAGGTGGCCAATACTCGTCCTGAGCTGCAAATAACACAGCCATAAAAAGATGGTAAATGGCTGTAAAGATGATTCTATTTAAAGCAAAATCAGAGTTAAATCTCTCCATCTTTCTCGTTTTGATGCAGCCCCGAATCACCGATTTTTTCTGCCGAAACATCGTAAAGGTATCGTTTGTGAGATGTCTAAATGGGAACCCGGCCAGTGATCATGCACAA